GAACTCACAGAGATCCTCCTGCCTCTGCCTCCCAAGTGCTGGATTAAAGGTGTGCACCACCACCGCCCAGCCAGTATGAGTCTCTTACGCTGATTTGATCAGCAGACATTGTTAACATGTACTGAAATGTCACACTGTACCCCACAAATATGCACAACTACTATTTATTAGTTACAGTGTATTAATGAGGGCTGCACACAACTGCTATTTATTAGTTACAGTGTATTAATGAGGGCAGTGCACAACTATTGATTAGTTACAGTGTATTAATGAGGGCTGTCAGGATGGTTAAGTAGGTAAAGGAGCTTGTCGCCAAGGTGACCCACATGGTAGAAGAATCGAGCCAACTCCTCTTGGCTGTTTTCTCTCAGACTTCCACATATACACACTCATAGCCACACATATACATGCACGCAAAATTAATGAAAACATAATTTAAAAATATATATACAAATGGCTGGGTGTGGTGGTGCATACCTCTAATCCCATCCCAGCACCAGGTAGAGGCAGGTGGATCTCAGGAGATATGAGGCCATCATAGTCTACATGGCAAGTTCCAGGCCAGTCAGGAATAATGTGTGTGTGTGTGTGTGTGTGTGTGTGTGTGTGTGTGTGTGTATAGTAGGATACACTATCTATACACTATATCTATACTACTATAGTACTGTAGTACTATACACACACACACCAGCTTGAACGTATTTATTCCATAACCCCTATCTATCTATCTATCTATCTATCTATCTATCTATCTATCTATCTATCTATCTATCTATCTATCAAAATATATTTATTGTGTATGTGATGTGTAAAATTAAGAGTTAATATCAATAATAAGAGTGGAATAAAGAGCCGGACGGTGGTGGAACATGCCATTAATCCCAACACTTGGGAGAGAGAGACAGAAAAATCTTTTTGAGTCTGAGGCCAGCCTGGTCTACAGAGCGAGTTCCAGGATAGCCAGAGCTACACAGAGGAACCCTGTCTCAAAGAACTAAAAAGACTTAAAAAAAAGTGCACTTCCCTTGGCCAGGCCACCCAGGTAGGAAGCTTGTGAATTTACCGTTATCCAGTGGTCGCCACACTTGTGTGTTTCTAGTACAGTGTGCTCATGACACTGCTCTCTCTCTCTCTCCTGGGATGGGGCACCGGTGGCTGGTGCTCTGGTGTGCTCCGATACCACGGCTGCCCCCTCTTAGTGTGCTGTAGCCCTGTCTCCAGGGGTCCCCTGGGGCCCCACAAAGACAGGAATGCCTCATTTCTCTTTTGCTATTTATTTATACTCAGTTCCCTGACCCTCCCCACTCCAAGACTTTGTGGAGAGAGGGTCCCGGTTGCTGGGTGGCCCCGCACTAACACTGATGCCCTGTCAAAGCTGGCTGCACATTGTTGACCTGAACCCTGAGCCTCAGATGGATTCACAGAGCCCAGGACTCACACTCAGCCTTAGCTGACTGTGCCCACAGTCACCATAGGTCAGCGATGCTCTGGACAGTCATCCTCTTCCTGAGGGCATATGCCGTATGACACAGTCGGGTAAGGTCCTAGGACAGGAGCCAAAGGGTGCAATACGAGGCCACTAGTCAAGCCTTAAGCCCAGGAGTCCCTTTTATACCACCAGTGTTGAGCCAGGCCTTGTCCTGGCCCTGGGGCTTCTTCTCTGATGGCCTTTGCCTCTGCTCCTTTTGCTTATAGCAAAGACACTTTATCCTGGTCACTATATGCTCACATATTTCAATGCTTAGTTCCCAGGGAGAAGCACTATTTGATAGGATTAGAAGGATTAGGAGGTGTGTCTTTGTTGGAGTAGGTGGGACTTTGTTGAAGGAAATGTGTCACTGGGGTGGTCTTTTTTTAATTAATTTTTATTTTATGTACACTGGTGTTTTGCCTGCACATATGTCTGTATGAGGGCATCATATCCCCTGGAAGAGGAGTTACAGACGGTTGTGAGCTGCCATGTGGATGCTGGGACTTGAACCCGGTCCTCTGGAAGAGCAGTCAGTGCTCTTAATCTCTCCAGCCCCACCAGGGTGGTCTTTGAGGTTTCAAAAGCCCATGCCAGGCTCTGGTGCGCTCTCTGTCTCTCTGTCTCTGTCTCTGTCTCTGTCTCTGTCTCTGTCTCTCTCTCTCTCTCTCTCTCTCTCTCTCTCTCTCCTGCCTACCCGCCTTTCTCTCTCCGCCTGCAGATAATGATATAGTTCTACCTCTCCAGCACCACGTCTGCCTGCCTGGCTGCTGCCAGGCTCCCCTCCATGACGAGGATGGACTGAACCTCTGACACTGGAAGCCAGCCCCCAATTAAGCGCTTTCCTTTATAAAAGTTGCTGTGATCACGGTGTCTCTTCGCAGTGACTACCACGCTTCCCTTCCACCAGCACACCTGGGGCTCCACTTACACTTCCTGATCTGTAAATCACTGGGACCTTCCTCCGGCTTTCTTTGAAGAAATTGTTGTTGCCAGACTTCAGGCTAGTTGGGAGCCTGCTAGTCTGAGGGATAACCCCTACTTGTCTCTTTTTCAGTCAGAGCCCGCCCCTGAAGCCAAGAGTCATAACAAAAGCTCCAAGGATCCAACTGCATATCTGGTGAGCCCTCTCCTGGCCTGAGAAGTGGTGGTTCAGGGGGAAGCCTGACCCGCAGGACTTCAGAAGTGTGAGCATGGACAGCAGGACCTCAGAAGTGTGAGCACAGGCAGTGTGCCAGCAGGACGATGTGGCAGGAACATCCACGTCAGCCTGAGGAAGCTCTCACCTCAAGACGATCTTTGATCCCCGCTTCCACCTTCAGTGCTGTGGGATTTCAGGCACATGCTATCACGCCCGCCTTTTACAGTGTGAACCCACGATCACACTCGGCTTCTTGTAACCACTCTACCTGCCGAGCTACGTCCTCAGCCCATTTCCTTAGTTTTTTTGTTAAAGTTTTTTCCCCCCAAGATTTATTTATGTGTATGAATGTTTTGTCTGCAAGTATGTATATGTGCCATGCACATGCCCAGTGCCCACAGAGGTCAGAAGAAGATGTTGGATCCCCTGGAATCCGAGTTATGGATGGTTGTGAGATACCATGTGGGTGCTGGGGTTGGAACCCAGGTCCTCTGCAAGAGCAGCAAGTGCTCTTAACTGCTGCACCCTCTTTCCAGCCCCTTCTGTAGTTTGTAACAAAGAGCAGTCTTAAAGCCACTCACAGAACTCCTGGCAATTTAGCAAGAAGCTCTTGCAAAGCGACCCCAGCAAAGTGCTGCCTCCTGCTCAGGTCCTGGTGGGCTCCGTGCTCCCAGGTGCCCTCCAGGTTCTGGAGCCACGGTCTCTACTGCAGCTCAAAGCTCTCATCCTCCAGCTCATGTCCATGGTCTATTGGTACTGATGACCTCTGGCCAACTCTCTTAAGGAAAGTACTCTCAGAGGCAGTGGTCCATCTCTTCTCCAGTCCTCCCGATTATTATTACTTTTATGTGTGTGTGTACACACATGAGTATGGGTGTCTGTGGAGGCCCAAGAGGGTATCAGACCCCTTGGAGGTGGAGTTATAGCTGTTGTGAGCCTCCTGATGTGGGAATCAAACTCAGGTCCTCTGGAAATGGCAAGGGCCAAGCCGTCTCTGAAGCTCCTGAAACGTTCCTTCTTTCCCAGCCCTGCCCATTTCTGTGTGTGTAGGTGCACACATTCATGTGTGTGAGTATGTGTGCACGTGGTGTGTGTGTACATGTCATATGTAGGCTAGTAATAACTGCCAGGGTGTGTTGTTTACTATTCTCTGTGCATTTTGATATTTTGTTTGATACAGGGTTTCACTATGTAGACCAGGCTAGCCTCGAAGCCACAGAGATCTGCCTGCCTCTGCCTCTGGAGTGCTGGAATTAAAGGTGTGCATCACCACCACTTGGTTGTTGTTTTTCTTTTTTTGACACAGGATTTGTTACTGGTCTGGAGCCTGCCAAGTAGGATGGGCAGGTGTGACCTCCTGGTGCTGGGATTATATGCATGCACTATCCTGGTATTTTCTACATGCATGCTGCCACTATCCTGGTATTTTCTACATGGGTTCTGGGGATTGGACTCATGCTTATGAGACCTTATGGATGTAGCTATCTCCCAGCCTGCCTCTTGTTTTTCACACTCTGGTTCTCTTTGCTTTTTTCTGTACTCTTCAGATCCCATGCTCTCCCAGCCCACACCTGACATCTCAGGGAGAGGATAGTTGTTCAACTGAATGAAAATGGGAGCAACGTCACAGTGTGTGCGGGGACCCTTACAGGTTCAGTTCTGTCAAATGGAGTAGATATGGGGCACTTTCTATGTGGCAGCTAGTCAGTAATGCCTTCTGTCCAGTCAGAAGCCTGCATCTGTGTCCTCTCATAATGAATCAGGCTTTGGGCAGCTTTGGTCCATGGGAGAAAAGTACTCATGGAACCAGGAGAGACTCAGAGTACCTGAGTGTGACCTGGCATGGCAGTGGGAAACCCGAGATTACTGTGAACAAGCCCAGCCACCTGGCTGGAAGATGAAGCCTCACTGAAGGAAAACTGAAGGCCCAGCTGCCTAACTGCCACACAAGAGGGAGGTCCCTGTTGGCAGATGCACAGTTCAGCAGTCCAGCTAAGTTCTGAAGACGATCCAAGCGCAGCCCGAGTTGCCGATGTACCCATTTGTAAAGCTAAGAAATGGCTGTTTGGGAAATGGTTTGTTAGATGCAAAGGCGAAGTGTAACACTCAATACAATTCACCATGGAGAGAGAGCATCAAGTGAGATTAAAATGGTCGGGCAAATAGGTGCAGCCACCCAAGCCAGAGGGGTGCTGTCATGCACACTGGGAGGCCCCGGGGGTCCCTCCAGATCCTGAACCAGGACTACGGGAAGCGAGACGTTCATGTTCATTCAAGATTTGAGAAAGAACCTGAAAACTCACAGATCAAGATAAATAATATTTTTTTTAATTTTTATTTTTTTGATAAATAATACTTTAATGCAGTATTTAAAAAGTCAAATAAGGTCGAGGCCAGCCTAGTCTATAGAGTGAGTTCCAGAACAGGCACCCAACCTACATAGAGGAACCCCGTCTCGAAAAAAAACCAAAAGAAAAAAAAAGTCAAATAAGGAAACTTGCCCATGTGCCTAGCTGCTTACTTTATAAATGAAGTTTTGTTGTAACAGGGACCAGGATTAGGACTAGGCAAGCAGGTAGTGTCATACAAGTGCAGGGTCAGACTTCCTTTTATTTATTTATTTATTCATACTTTGAGTTGGGCACAAACTTTTAAAAAGTGGTGATATTTTTAATCCCAGTACTTGGGGGGCAGAGACATGTGGATCTCCAAGTTTGAGGCCGGCCTGATCTAAATAGTGAGTTCCAGGACAGCCAGGGCTACACAGAAAAACCCTGTCTCAAGAAAATTGGGGTGGGGGGGATCAATGCTTAGAAGGAACTGCCATGGGGCCGCAGAGCTGGGCTCAGCTTCCAGGACGGAGGCTCCTCTAAGCCACCTGAGGTCCCCATTCTTTCAGAAGTCCTCCAATGTCCTCCTCAGTCACTGGCATTTTTTAGGCGCCACATGACTAACCCTCCACAGATTACTTTCTTTTGGAAACAGGGTCTTACTGTGTAGTTCTGGCTGGCCTGGAATTTGCTTGGTAGACCAAGTGGGCCTTGAACTCATTGAGATCCATCTGCCTCTGCCTCCAAGAGCAGGGACTGAAGGTGTGCGCCACCGCTCCTGGTTTGGACGTCCAGACTACTTTTTAGAAAGTCTTGCTGGGGCTGGAGAGACGGCTCAGCTGGAAAAAGCCCTTGTTTTACAAGCTTGATGATCCCAGTTCAATCCCCAGAACTCACGTATAGGGGAAGGAGAAGTGACCCCACGAAGTTGATCTCTGACCTCCACGTGTGTACCATGGCAACTGGAAAACCTGTACTCACTCACAGACCACATATTTGCATAATAATAAATAAATGAAATTAAAATATTTTATTTGAGCTGGGTGGTGGTTGTGCACACCTTTGATCCCAGCACTAAGGAGGCAGAGGCAGGCGGATCTCTGAGTTTGAGGCCAGCCTGGTCTACAGAGCAAGTTCTAGGACAGCTAAGGGCTACATAGAAAAACCTGTCTCGAAAAACAAACAAACAAGCAAATGTTTTATTTGATTTTCCCCCCTGTAGACTGGGTTCATCTCCAGTCTCGGCAGGGCAAGCAGACACTTGGAGTACTTGATTATTTATGAAAAAGTTGTTCAAAAGCTCTATCTTATTTTCAATTACATGTATGAATGTGTGTATGCGAGGGGCCTGGCCGTATGAGTGCTGGCCCTGAGGTCCTCTCCGAGATCGGTACACACTCTTAACCACTGAGCGTCTATCGAGACCCAAGTTGTCAAACCTTTTAAAAAGGGTCAGGCAGGCGGATCTGGGGTTTGGAGACAGCAAGTTCCAGGCCAGCCTGGGTCACACAGGGGAACCTATTAAAACCAGGCCTATTGCTGGTTTCAGTTGTGGGGTGTCCAAGTGTGTGCTTCGAGCAGCCTTGAAGAGCACTAACGGTAATGCTTACATTCCCAGAGAACAACCCACTCCTTGCTCGGTGATCTCAGTGTGCTGAGCCCTCAGAGGATTCCCTCGTCCCTCTAAAAGAGCACCTCTTCTCCTCCCCAGACAACAGACGAGCAGCCTGACTTCCACCCGGGTGGGGGCCTGAAAAGATGACTCTCGCCGGCCTGGGTGTCTGCTGCTCCCACGCCAGGCAGGGAAAGGCTGTGCCAGGCACTGGCACCTGTGGAATCTCGGGGGCGTTGGCTGGTGTGGTGGAGTGCCTTCTCCATGATGCTCCTTAGCAGTTCATCCCCAGGTCCCATCACAGTGACTTGACACCAGAGTCCTCTGCCACACGCTGTGTGCCCTTCAGACACCCTTACTTTGGACATCCACAGGCAGAGCTAGGAGGTCAGCAGGCGCTTCAGGCCTTAAGTGCAGAGAGAGGCACATATTTCTGGAGTATTGGAGAGAGATGTGACGGCCAGACCCGGGTGGGGCAGGAGACAGGTCAAGCTGGCCACATTTCTAAGCCCTTTACAGATGTACAGGGGGCTGGAGATGGCTCAGTGGCTAAGAGCATTTGCTGGTCTTGCAGAGGCCGTGCCATTCCCAGGGACCACAAAGTGGCTCACAGCCCCCTCTAACTCCAGTGTGAGGGCTTCTGAGACCTTCTTCTGGCCTCTGTGGGCACCAGGCACACACAGGTGCACACACAAAGATTTCAGGTCAAGATACATAAAACCAACCAATCTGAAAACAACCACAGAAACCCAAACAACTGTTTGAGGAGCCTGAGTCTACTTTGTATTCTAGATCACACCTTATCCTTCTTCTAAAAACCAGGTCTCATGTAGCCCAGGCTGGCCTCAAACTCACTATGTAGCACAGGATGATCTTGAACTTCTCAGTCCCATGGCTCCCCGTCCTGAGTGCTGAGTGACGGGTGAGTATGACCACGTATGGTCTCTGGTACTAAAGATGGAAGCCAGGGCTTGCATGCTAGGCGAGCACTCTACCCCATAGCTACATCCCTGGGCCCATAGCATAGTCTTGTTTTTAAATTTATTTTTTCAGAACTTTTACATGAGCAGTGTGTCCACATCTTTTCCCCGTCCCCTTCATCCCATCTCCGGCAATGTTATATCTTTCCTCGGAGTTTAGAGCCGTGGTTCTCGCCCTTCCTAATGCTGTGCCCTGTCCAATAGGTGCTCAGGTTGTGCTGACCCCCAACCATAACATTGCTACTTTATAACTGAGTTTTGCTATTGTTATGAATCATAATCATATCTGATATGCAGGATATTTGATATGTGACCACTGTGAAAAAGTCATTTGACCCCCCCCTCCCCGAAGGGAACCACTGATTTAGAGGCTGCAAACACCCTGGCTGAGGCTGAGCCTCTGAGAACGAGGCTCCCCTGAGCTCCTTATTGGCTGGTAGTTGGTTCATGTGAGGAGTGAGGAGTCACCTTTCACCAGCCACCCTGGCCCAGCATCTGGGAAAAGGCTCTTCTGGTATAGCCTTCTCCGTCTGGATGGCTCGATGGTGTGCTTCATGTCTAGCTTAGACTCTACGAAGGCCAGGGAAGCTGAGTCTGGAATTTGCCATTCCCTGTGACCACAAAGTGTTTTGAGGTCAAAGGCTACCCCTTTTTCTCCTCTGGGCGCAAAGGATGACCAGGTAACCTCTTCTCACCAGGAGGGCAGTCCAGGCCTCTCCCAACCCTCCTCCCATGGCTCGGTCTGAGGAGACGGTGCCTGGATAGTGGTGCTCTGACCGCCTCACGCCTGGGCAGCCTGGAGGGGCTGGCATTCCTGGGATCCTCCACACCCAGGATCTCAGAGACAAGTGTCTCTTCACATCCATCCCCTGCAGCTGCTGGTAGAGAACCAGAAGTCGATGGGTCATCAGACACGTGACAGTGAGCTTGGGAAAGAAGCCATCTTCACTTCCTGTAGGACTGACTGCCTGGAGGAGAGAAGCCAGAGCTAGATGCCAGTGCCAAGTGGTCCCCGCACAAAACCCCTCTATCCCATACAATCCCTTCTTTCAACTGCCCTTGTGCAAATGAATAATAAGAACTTTCCCTCCCGGGTCCTGGCTCTGTGGCCTGCCCTGGTCCTTCCTCACAGGAAGCTGCTGCCTGGTCGGTTTGCTCAATGTGCCTCCTGGCAATAGTTCACTGTTTGCTGAGTCCACGGGACATATGGAATCTACCACTCCGGGACTCTGTACACCAGGCTTGGGCCATGTGATGTTGCTGGATGTGGGGTATGGCCAGCTATCAGCTACAGGGTGTTATTATTGTGATGAATGTCAACCGAGACTCCCAACCCTGTGCAGACTGGAAACAGCAGGGTCAGAATGGCCTGACCGCTTCCTCCTGGCTAGGCTTTCCATGGTCCCTTGGCACTCCTCAGGGCCTGAGAGGAAGTAGCCTGACCTGAACCAGAGGGAATAGGGAGAGCCCATCATGGCTTAGCCGTGGCTCATTGTCTGGCTAGAATGCCAGGGCCTGGCCAGGGAGGGGCGGTGACAAGGCTGTACCCAAGCTGGCGACGGTTTGCTGCTTGACATCTTTGTTCTTCTTGTTAGTAAAGCCCAGCTGGGGAGATCAGTCAACTGGTTGAGACTGAAGTAGGGTGAGAAAGATGGAGAGGCTGGGTTTGAGCGGAGCCTCCCACCAGAAGGTGGATCTGAGTTCTAGACCAACCTTATGCAGCCAAGACAGGTGAGGATGGCCTTTGCAAGGCCCCAGATGTGGGAATCTTATTTCTAAGGGATATGATCTTCAGGGTGTCATTCAGCTAGCTTATACACTAGCTGCCTAACTAAGAGCATTGAATAAACAGCAAATGTTAATAAAGGACAGGTCCCCGGGCAAAGGAAGTCACTGGAAAAGGCCCTGGTCCTGTAGGGAAATGTGCCTTTCCCATTTGCCTGGGCACAAGTAGTTCATGGGCCCAAATACAGGAGCACAAGGCCCTTCCTCTGAGGCTCCCATCAAGGTGCTTGCTGACTTACTGTGCAGGCCCCTCGTGGAGGATGCTGTGGAGGCTGGGCGGCTGGCCTGTTGGGGACCACTTGAGGAGACCTGCGGGGCCAGAGACGATGCTTTCGCCTTGAGTGTGTTCAGTTCCATGGTCTCTGGAGTACTGGGTACCCGGGGCTTGAAGGTGAAAGCTGACGCGAATTCCCTAGGAGAAAAGAAATGTACAGTCTACAGTCACAACTGTTAAACAAAAAGTCAGGATTATAAGAGGGAAGCCACTGACTCTGTGAGCCCCAAGATGTGGAGTCATATTACAGGGGAGGAGGAAAATGATGAGGAAGAAATAACAGCTAAGGGGTTAACAGGGTGAGGAAGGGGATGAGGGCCTGGGGGAGTACTGACATTTAATTAACTTATTTGGTTTTTTTGAAACAGGGTCTTAGTATATGGCTCTGGCTGCCCTGGAACTTGCTATGTAGATTAGGATGACCTGGAACTCAGAGATTCTCCTGGCTCTGCCTCTCCAGTGCTGGGATTAAAGGTGTGCACTACCATGCCCTGCCAAAATGTTTATATTTATTTATTGATTGATTTATTTTGGGAGAGGGAGCACATGCCACAGAATACACAGGGAGGTCAGAGGACAACTTGCTGGAGTCAGTCCTTCCCTTCTAGGGATGAAATGAAGTCATCAGGCCTGGTGGCAGGTGCCTTTATCCACTCAGCCATCTCACCAGCCCACCGGCAGCGACAGTTCAGACCGCATGTCAGGGAGGTGCAGGCAGCCGAACCATGGCCCCAAAGGGGTCCATATCACACGCTCCCGAGCCCAGGAGAACACTGTTGTAGGAGTGTTATAGGAGCTGTTCCTGTTAGTCGGGGCTCTGGCGGCCCTAACAAGCTACGCTTGGTCACTTGTCCTCAGTAGGACTGTTAAAGACACACATAGCAGCGAAAAACAAAGAAAGGCGGTTTATTCAAAGTCAGAGTAGGAAGGAAAACAAATAAAAAGGTCCAGTGGATACTCCAAGTCCTGAACCTGTCTACAGGATCCTGGTTCAGCTTTAAAGTCCTGGCCAAGAAGTGGTCCTGTCATTCCCTGAGCCGTCCCTGTCAGCCCCCGTCTCTCCCGAAGGTGGACCGATGGCTGTCAGAACTGTGAGGAATCGCTTCCTGGGAGAAATGCAAACCCTTTGGGGAGCATTGTCTCAATAGTCTATACGGCACAAGTGTCTCCTAAAACATTCTTTAAATGGGGTGGGAGAGATGGGCACTCGAGTGTGCATGCGCATGCACGCACATACACATTAAATAAGTCAGTAAATGTGAAAAAATAAAGGTCTCCACATCAGTGGCTGACACTGAGCATGGCTGGCTATCTTAGTGACTTTGCTTATCCTAAAGGGTTTGGAATGCATGCCAGGATCACCTGGCAGGCAAGAGTCAGCCAGGCTGGCTGGATCCCAAAACCTTGAGGATAGAGTAAGGGCCATGAGCTCAGGAGGAGAGGCAGCCCCTAGAGACAGGTAAGGGGAGGAGACAGTTTTCCAGGGTGAAGGAGTCCATGGCGCACTTTGAAGGGCATGGCGTCAGACTTCCACCCAGAACGGGAAAGACACAGTCAGGACATCCGCCTCTCACGATGGGAGATTCGCTTCTGCAGCACAAGGAAACCAGTTTTAGGAGGGGCAGCCAGGGAAGGCCTTGCTGATACGGTGATGGTAAACCCTCCAACAAGCCCCGTGACTCAGGTGTTCCATCTTAGCAGATGTAGACTGAGGGTCCAAAGGTCAGGAGCCTTCCTGAGGTCATCCACAGAGCAGGCAGGCAGTGACGCAGGAGCTGAGAACAGCCGCTTTCCAGCTGTCTTCCACCAATTCCCCACAGCTTGGTGTTGTCAGACCAGAACTTTGGGGTCCGGGTTCTGGGGCCTCCCAGGAATGAGCTGGTGACGGGGACTATTGTCCTTCCCACAACACCAGGAAACCAGCCCTCAGCTCAGCAGGACCCACCCCGACAGAGCACTCCAAATCTTGGTTGCTGCTGCAGGACGGTGTGTTGGAAGGGGTTGTCATCAGCCCCTGCAGGGGAGATGGAAAGGACTCTGCCAAAGGCGGAGCAGCCTCTGGGTCCCCACCCCAGGATGGTGGACGAGCTGCCCAGAGCCAGGGCTGGAACCAGGAAACGGCCTGGGTGGATAGAGGACGCGGTTAGGGGACAGCAGACTAGGTGGGCAGAACGGAAGTCCAGGAGGGACTCACCCGGAAGCTCCCTAAAGTCATTTGCTGCAGGAACACATGTCAGTTTGACGTTTGTGTTCATTGGGAGGTGCCCCAATATAGGCGAGGATTTATTAGGGTGCCACTTTATGTCAACTCATCAATGGGGACATTGTGTTGGCAGGGAAGAGCAGTACAAGACGCCAGGGCGATTGCAGCTTCAGTGTTTGGAATGCTGCTGAGCCAGCATGCCAGCAGCTGAGCACCCCAGCAGAGGATCCCATGTCCTCTCCTCATGCAGGAAGCCACAGGAGGTGTCTGGGCACTGCTCTGTCCTCTCTGCTCACTAGATTTGGAACTGGCTCTTGGTTGCTGCTACAGACACCTCATCCTGAGAATAATGAAACCTAGACGTTGGCAGAGATAAGGTGGGTAATAGGAGAGAAAAAAACACTGGGTGAAGGCAGATGTCTAACATGCACCAACAGTTCACACCTGTGCACACACACTCGGCTCTCTGGTGCTGCTCTACACGGCCTCTGGGCCTAAAGTGTCACTTTTATCTGGATGTACAGAATCTTGAGCTGCCACGTTTCTGGAGGAGACACGAGGGAGAAAAAACGCCATACACATAAACTCTTTTCTCCTATTTAAAAAGCAAAGGTGCAGGAGAGAATGAATCTCTTTTATCTGAAATGCTTGGGGCTAGAAGTATTTTGGACTTAATTTAAAAACATTTTGGAACATATTCATAGGTATAATGAAATGTCTAGGGGACAGGAACCAAGTCTTTTTTTGTGGGGAAGGCAGGGCCTCACTACGTAGACCAGGATGACCCTGAACTCACAGACACCTACCTGCCTCTGCTTCTCAAGTGCTGGGATCAAAAGTGTGCATCACCATGCCTGGCCATGTAGGATCCAAGTCTCTCTCTCTCTCTCTCTCTCTCTCTCTCTCTCTCTCTCTCTCTCTCTCTCTCTCTCTCATTTTTATATATGAGGGCCTGCATGTGTGCATGTGCACCACGTGTGTGCATGAGGACCACATGTGTGCATGTGCACCACATGTGTGCCTGGCCTGGGAGGCCAGACAAGGCAGCCAGATCTCGCTGAAACTAGGATTACAGACTGCGGTAATCTGGGGTGAGTGCTGGGAACTAAAGCCAGGTCCTCTGCTAGCACAGTGTAAAGTTCCCAGGAAAAAGCCATCATTTCTTGCACTTTCTACAGAGCTCATTAACTGCTTAGAATGTAAGCTATGGTGAGGCTGGAGTGTCAGATGCAGGGCTAGTACAGTTCCTCTCGGGCATCTTCAGCACTCGAAATAGCCATTCCTTGCCCAACTCCACATCTGACCTGACATCCGAGACAAATGGATAAAGCTTTTTGGAATGTATAGACAAAACTGCAGTTCCCACCCACCAAAAGGCTGGGGAGTCATCAGACAGATCTGAAACCTAGAGCAGAGATCTTTCCTCACCAGCCACCTCCTGCATGTTCCCACCAAGGTGTTTGCAGTGACCTGGCTTAGGGCTTTCTTTGTTCTGTTTATAAAAACACCATCAGACTGTTACCGTTGGAACACTGGATTTGGGGTGACCTAAATCTGAGTTTCTGGGCCACGGCCACTTTACTTGGCCCTACAATAAACTCTTATTCCCTCTGAGGTGAGCACCTTAGTTGCTGAGTCGTCTTCCCAGTCCCAGGACCACATCTTATTGCAAAAATTCCTTTATGCTGCTTGGCATGGTGGCACACACCTTTAATCCCAACATTAAGAGGCAGAAACAGGTGGCTCTCCATGAGTTCAAGGTCAGCCTGGTTTTCATAGTGAGTTTCGGGCTAGCCAAGGCTACTGGGTGAGACCCTGTCTCAAAAAACAACAAGAAATTATTTATGTTTCATGTGTGTATTATATGAATATACACAGTATAACCTGAATATAACTTTGTAGTTTCTAAAGATAGAATCTTGTGAGGCATAGTGGCCGGCTATGATCTAGGGCCAGCCTGGGATATACAGTGAGACTCAGTCTCAAAATAAAGAAACAGACAAACAACAACAAAATCAAAAAATAAATACTGAGTGTAGCTATGTAGTTCAAGCTAGGCTGGAACTTTCTTTGTGTGTGTGTGTGTGTGTGTGTGTGTGTGTGTACATGGTGTGTATGTGTGTGTGTGTGTGTGTGTG